TTTCCATGCTCTGTGGGAAATGCATTGCAGGCTTGTAAAAATGGATGGAGCAGCTCTATATCTATACAGTCTATACCCTCAAATTCAGGCATCAGCAGTATGAAACCTGGTGTAGACATGTGTAGACCCATGGGGCAGCGCACTTGTTCTGCTAATTACACTTAGAAGTTAGAACTGTATAGATTAGATGCTAGAGAGGTACTAGCTATGTGGCTTCCGCAGCGGTCAATAATTACGGTTTTTGCAAGTCTCAGTCCCAAGTAAAAAACATGTTGAGAGATGTTGAGAGAATGCAACCTGGCAAGGTGCCAATAAGTCCAATAAGTTTCATCAAAGGACTGCCAGGGCAGGCGAACACCTCAAAAAAACAGGCGTCCTCGGGCCCCAAAAAGTTGGGTTCACAGGCCTGCAAAGCCATGTATTTCAATGGTCGAAAAACCACAGATTTGGGTGGTTCAAAGGTCTGCGCATGTCAAGGGTTCATAAGGCAGTAGAGCCACAGAATTGGGGTGTGGATGCTGAGTCAATACCCGGTATATCCTCTATTAACCTTGTGATTAAACACAGCTATGGGCCCTACATGTCTGTCTGCCCTAGCTATGTCTGTCTGCCCTAGCTAGGGCAAGAATTTTGCGCAGCCATCAGCCAAGGCTTTGTGTAGAAACACCACATCGATGAGCAGCAATGACCCGTCACACACAGGGGTTTAATTGAGAACCTCTCATTCTGTGATCTTGGAGACCAAGCCTATGGTACCCATCCTCAGTACAAGAACGTCGAACGTAAATGTTGAGGACGGGACTGTTTCAAATGATTGATACGTGATACGTCTTTTCAGCTCTTTCAACCGTCACCTCTGGAACCCTGTACAGGGTGAAACTTGGAGGCATGTTGCCACTTGTGGCGGTGAGCTGCCATTTGCAAGCTCAATCCTTAACATCCACAGCGAACTTTTCCACAGAGGGGGTTGGTTGTAACTAGTTGTAACTGGACATGTTCCACACCAAAACCTAGGCTGAAAAAAGACAGTTGAGAGAAGTTACGATCACAGGCAACTTGATTCATAAAGAATCAAACCGCCATACAATACTGATACTGCTCCCAAGCACAGCTTGAAACTGGGCAGTAGTGCTTCCGTCAAACCCACTGTCTGCGATCAAAAGGGCCGAAGCAGTCTTGCTTTCCCTCTTGCGAACTTGACACTTTTGGACTCTCCGATCATTTTGTTTCGTGAGAAGATTTGACAAGCCAGTCTGTGCGAGTAAACAAACAAACAAACATTGGCCTTCATTTTGACCCTTAAGTTTAAGCTTCTGTGGAGCGCGAGACAGGCGTCAGCTTCCACGATTGACAAGTTCGACACGATCTTCTGCGGAGCTTCCGCAAAGCTTCTGCGATGCAAACTGCTGCTTCTGCGGAGTAATTTCCGCGGCTCTTCTTCGAGGTTCCTATGGACTTTCTGCGCAAAGTCGCGGCTTGAATGATCTTGCATGTTACGAATATTGGTTGAATTTGGCAGCACAGCACTCCTGCTTATGAAATTTCTTGAGTCAACTCCTCTGAACCTCTCCATTCTCAACAGTGTCAATCTAAGCTTTGCTTCTCAATCTCCCGAGCTGCAACACCTGCGATTCAACTTGCTATTCCAAATGACGAAACTAGATGAAACTAGGACTCATGTTCTAAACAGCCAACAGTGGTGTGACGTTGCAAAGCACACACAAGGGAAGCGTAAAGAAGTTGGACCGAATTGGGCGCGGTGAGAGATTAGCTTGAAGGCTTCCACTCATGCCGTTCCTTTGACATCTACCGACGTGAGCAAAGGATAGGGGGGCTAGTAGGATCTTCTGCCAAGAACTGGTTGTGGCAAATGCAAAGCACAAAAGGATACAAAAGGTCACCCTTCGATCTTTGCTGGTCAATTTCAAACCGAAAGTGTGTGGATCTGAGAAAATAGCGCGGAATGCGCCTTCAAGACATGCTACTATTGAGGAAGCCATGTACTGACATCTCTGCTGGAAGTGTCTGGAACACTGGTGGCTTGGTCCATGTCCATAGACTTCCGTAGCACACTTGGCGTCCCTATCCTTCCCGCATTGGTCTCTTGCCAACTCAACTGGACCAAGATGACCAAGCCTGTCAAGGAATGATTGTGCGACTACAAGTACCTGCTGCTTGCGGCTGTCATTCACTACATACCATCGGATTCATGATCACGAACCATCTGACACGTACACAACATGAAGGTTCAGTTGGGAAGAAACTGGTATGTCCTGCAAACCATTCTCAGGTCTGAAGATGCACTGAACATCGAATAACAAACTAAACAGTGGAGAAGACCCTCCAAATCACTAGACAAAAGACATGGAAGGCAAAACAAAACATTCAAAAAAATCTGGCTGAAGAGGGAGTGTCTCTCTCCTGAGGCCGGCAAGTCACGAACATGCTGGAAGAAAAATCCCTGCTAGATTCATACAGCGAATTTTCTTGCTTGGAATGCGGTGACAGAGAATTCAAACGTTTGAAAGCGTGTATAAAGAGCTATACGCAGAAACCAGGTAGTCAAGTCTCGGCAAACATGGGCTGCTCGCAGGATCGTTGAGCGCAACAAGACCATAGGAATCACTTAAATCAGAAGGGGGCCATCGGTATCCAAGACGCAACTTTGCCTGCATGATACAGCGGCAAATGTCACGCCACGTGGAAGTAAAAGGCTTGTTTCACCAACTGGACATGTTCCACACCAAAGCCTAGGCTGAAAAAAGACAGTTGAGAGAAGTTACGATCACAGGCAACTTGATTCATAAAGAATCAAATCGCCATACAATATTGATACTGCTCCCAAGCACAGCTTGAAACTGGGCAGTAATGCTTCCGTCAAACCCACTGTCTGCGATCAAAAGGGCCGAAGCAGTCTTGCTTTCCCTCTTGCGAACTTGACACTTTTGGACTCTCCGATCATTTTGTTTCGTGAGAACATTTGACAAGCCAGTCTGTGTGAGTAAACAAGCAAACAAACATTGGCCTTCATTTTGACCCTTAAGTTTAAGCTTCTGTGGAGCGCGAGGTAGGCGTCAGCTTCGGCGATTGACAAGTTCGACACAATCTTCTGCGGAGCTTCCGCAAAGCTTCTGCGATGCAAACTGCTGCTTCTGCGGAGTAATTTCCTCTGCTCTTCTTGGAGGTTCGTGGGGGGTCTTTACTCAAAACATCAATTTGCCTTGATGTGGTTACTTTTAGCAACAGGAATCTCAGTCCTTTCTGGATCTCATTGAGAGTAATTGGGACTGGGTCATCGGGAGCATTCAACCTCCACCGTGGATTGATTTCGGCGGGCTTAGAGGCGCAATTCGGGTGTGGAACCAGTCAAGAATGAAGGAACTCCCCTTCAAGCTGGTTCGACCGCTTCGAACGAAGTTGCCCTTCCATCAGGCATCAAGTTGCTCAGGGATTCCCTGATGTATATAGTTGATCCTCAAACGCTTGACTAAACATGTTTGCATCACAGCATAGGACCATTCTGGGATATCTGGGTGTGTCCAATCAAAAATGCGTCCTTGCGTTCTTTTGCTCTTTGGTGAGGCATTGTTGGAAGAAAACAATGCTTCCGGAGTCGATGAATCGATGTCGGAGGTCTTGAGTCACTGCATGTACATACCTTGCCGCTGATTTGGAAGGAGCATGGATCTCATTATATGATTGCTTACAGTGAAAACTAAGCTATGCTACCACGTATGTTCTACACGTAAAGGATCGTAAAGGTATGCCGCTGTATGAATTTCAACACAAGGCTATGGCCTTTCCAGTTTGAAGGTATTTACCATTCACCAAACCGTTCATTGTTTGAAACCTTCTGATTCCTTTATACTATGTTGTTCTGCTTTGTTGTCTGAACATGTCTGAACCCTGGAATCGCGCGGATGAAAACCAACAAACCCAATCAAATCTATTTCTCCGCCATTTGGAGCAATGGTGAAAGGCTTTAATCCTCGAGCGCAACAAGCCAGGCAGTCTACGGGGTATCAATTTTGCAAACACTAACAACATTGTACAACCGCGTTGCTTTCCATGACGTCCAGACTTCTGCCTCCGTTGTGGCATTTTTAGCAATCTTGCATTCGATGATCCGTTCAAACAAAATTTACCAAAAAATGCAGAATGGACGAGCATAAAATTCGCTGTAGTAATCTGTAGTAGCCCCCATATATCCCAATATTCACAAAGTATCACAAGGTAATCTCCGAACAAACAATTCAAACATTTCGATGTTGCAATATGTTGCAATCTTGTCACCTAGCTTTGCCTCCTGCCAACCAGCGCCAAATGTTACAGTCCGAAAATTCAAGCACGCACATTTTTCACGCAGCCAATCGGTGCCAGTCTTGAAAACAGAAGCTACTGCAGCAATGTGCCTTAAAGACATGGACTTGATCCATCTCACTCACATCAATTGAGATTGTGAAGGTGCAAAGCTGTCAAGAGGTACACAAAAATTCACAAAGTTTGTGTAGACATGTGTAGACTACGTGTTTGTGTGTTCAGTTCTCATCATCGACTCATCATCCAAGTTATGCACCTCTCTTTCTTTCCACCTGGCATCATGGTGCTTTCCTCGGCCATAACCTGCAAGTGCGCAGTCTATGGCAGTCTTGAACTTCTCCGGCCTCTGTCGACGCGTCTTGGTGTCATACTTTTTCTGTATAGTCTGTATAGGCTGTATAGGCTAGGTGATAAGTTAAAATAAGATTTTCAAGAACTTCGGCGGCATGCATTTTCAAACATGTTCAATTCAGGTATGGTTTTTGAAGATTAAAGGACATGTGCAAAATGACCCAGTAACTGTATAGGGCGTGTTGCACAAACGTCTAAGCTTGACAGTCAAGATCAAAGCAAACCGTCCATGGACAGGACGGCCACCCCCTGAAGTCATGTCCAAGCTCGTCCAATGTGGACCATAGTGGACCTACGTCTGCACTTTCGACGTCGAGATATCAACAGTTTGCGATGGCTCCGGTGAGATTCCATATGCCGGTGCTTTGCTGCCTACAGCAAGCCACGATTTCAATAGCACCCATGCCTTTGGGAGGCTTGGGTGTCCTGCATGCTTTGTCCAAGCTCCGAATCCTTTTGCTCGAAATATCCACAGTATTTCTAAGTTTTATGAGGTTCTTATGCAACCTTCTATTCAAACGCACCATGCAAACTGCCTGTGCTTTAACTTTGGTGCAAACATGTGCAAACATAAGGAGGCATTGGCTCATATTGACTCAAAGGAGCATCTGTTTGGCCTAGGCAAGGACGTTTTGCGGCGCAATCCCGCTCTGAGAGCCTGCAATTCTGCTAGCCTCCTCCTGCTTTCGACTCCTCAAACAGACATGATATATTGGATGTATTGGGATTGAAAGATATGGAAAACCTTTTTCAAACCTACTGGATATGATTTATGATCGTTCTTTTGCCAAGTTGATACTTGACTTGAAGCTAAGTTCCAAGGTCTTCTATAGAGCTCTGAGGGCGGGAACATGATCTTCTCAGCACAGTGACAGTGGCAATAGGCTAGGTCGCAAATTTCATAGGAAGGTCGCTTTTTTCGAAGCGGGGTATGCCACCGGCATCTTCCATCAAAGGGAAATAATCGAGGACCTCCGAGTCGATGTGATCACGGTCTGTAGGATACACGAGACTTTACTGCAAGCATCTCACTTATTGTCTGCCTGCATGTTTTTTCTTCTGCGCTTTGCACAACGGGTGACGGATGGCGACAGTGACTTCGAAATGTCTCTCACTAGCTAGTCATGGACACCGTTGCCAAGCTAGTGAGACATTGTAAAAGTGGGCTCTCTTTACAGCAGCTGGCGTTTCCTTCATATGAACCATATGTTTTTTGTCTGTATGAAAGTGTGATATTCCAGCAAATCGCTGAATTCATCACAGTTTTCATGGCTCCTCTCTCTAGAACTATGCTGCTGAGTTGGTTCCAGCGCCAGTGAGCTGAAGGGAAGCTAACGCAGTGCGGCAGCGTGCAGTCAGTGACTCTCCGCAATGCACTGCCACGGATGCATGTGCTGCATGTGGTTGTGCCGTTCCAGAGTTGGGCTACTCAGCCCTCGGAGTTGCAAGGAGGCGTCCAGTTAGTTGTGCGCCTGCCATTACTTAGCCATCCCGGGATTGGCACAAAAGGGTTTCAGCACCTGATTGCTTTTCCAGATGGTCTCAATGGAAAGCTCAACTCAAACAAACAGAGTGGACAGGGAGCATGCAAAATAGTTAGGGGCAAAACAAGTCTGAACGTGCCATCTGGGTGTAAATCAAGATTGCCTCTGCGAAGATACATGCTTTTCTCCCACTGGGAGCAACAAAGTCTCAGCATTTCTTTGCTTCCAAGGCACCCCAAAAGCCTTGCTGATGCTTTGGCAACAGGCTGGTAAACATACTTTGAAAACACTTTGACCTGATACTGATAAACACTTTGACCTGATACTGATACTGATCACACTTCAAGACTTTGAGGATCTTTCAGGCACTGGCAAAGCAGCCATATTACAGCTGGAGGATCATCAAGTCAAATTGGACTTTAATTCCGGTAGGAGCTTATATGGACCTAAAGGGCCGTGCGTCAGCTGATCGTTGCCTATTGAATCTCAGGTTCGGGCTAAGAATGTTGGACAAACAAAGAAAACATTGTACGAGGCCACAGAATGCATGGGCAGCAAGGACCGGGAATGCAAGGGTCCCACCGTTGTTTTGGCAGCCTCTTGGAAACGAGATTCATGGCACCCATCCTCATTCCAAGAAAGTCCAATGTTGAACTCGGGACTGTTTCATGCAACGGGTGCCTTTGCAACTCTTCAGACCATCAACCGCGGCTCAACTGTCCAAGCATGGCTGGAGGCTGCAGCAAGGCACAATGCTCGAGTGCAGTCCTTGGAATCCAGCTACGGCAGCTACGGTTTGTCTGCAGCTCCAATGCTCCGTTCTTTCTCATTGCTTGGCAAGACTTCGTACCTTCCACTTGCGGAAGATAGCTGGCTTTCAGAGATTCGAATTGGGCCCTTAAACAAAGCGGAAAACCATAACGGAGTAAGAGTTCAAGGGATCAAATAGTTGAACTTCTGTTTCATCACACTGTAACCCATTTGAAATGGCAGCAAGCTGCACTCTGAGCTGGAAAGAAGCTTAAAATGATGCACCAGTCCAAGAACATGCATCGTTGAATTGGATAGTGGTTGTTACTTTCCTTCCAAAGCACCCCAAAAGCCTTGCTGATGCTTTGGCAACAGGCTGGTAAACATACTTTGAAAACACTTTGACCTGATACTGATACTGATCACACTTCAAGACTTTGAGGATCTTTCAGGCACTGGCAAAGCAGCCATATTACAGCTGGAGGATCATCAAGTCAAATTGGACTTTAATTCCGGTAGGAGCTTATATGGACCTAAAGGGCCGTGCGTCAGCTGATCGTTGCCTATTGAATCTCAGGTTCGGGCTAAGAATGTTGGACAAACAAAGAAAACATTGTACGAGGCCACAGAATGCATGGGCAGCAAGGACCGGGAATGCAAGGGTCCCACCGTTGTTTTTGCAGCCTCTTGGAAACGAGATTCATGGCACCCATCCTCATTCCAAGAAAGTCCAATGTTGAACTCGGGACTGTTTCATGCAACGGGTGCCTTTGCAACTCTTCAGACCATCAACCGCGGCTCAACTGTCCAAGCATGGCTGGAGGCTGCGATTCGAATTTCATCCTAAACAATGCAACCATCCACGTCTAACACTAGCTGAGGGTTTGATTCTCTCTGGCCTCTGTGGATACTGGTCATGCTCCTCTCATTGCTCTTCGGTCTCGACTCTCGACATTGTACCTGGCTTGCAACAGCTCATCTCATGCGCAAAAATAGGCTGTTGCTTTTGACATCAACAATCCAACCAGCTCCCAGCTTCATTGCTTTGAATTGTGCTCTGTTCTCCAAGCAATTCTCCCAAGAATCAAAGTATAGACTTGAGAAAGAGCACTTGGTATGATAATCATAATACTTGACACACTGCGAAGCCGCACGAAGGCACATGGAGAAACCCTAGAATCCATTTGGAACCTCCTAGAAATCAACTGAATTCATCGGATTTTGCTTGGTCAAACTGAGGCAAGTTTAAGCATCCAAAATGCAGAGCCCATTGTCTGTGTCAGGTTGTTGCAGGCAGCTCCTGGTATATTTGCGTAGGCAAGCTACTGGTATGTCCTGCGAGCCAAACAACCTGGCAAGGCGGCAAGCCTTGTGAAGTGCGTTACGAAAGTTCCGTTGCTCTGCTTCTGCATGATATGCCAAATACGGTGGGGTATAGCTTTGCCGTTGAGACACTGGCAGGGAACGGATCTGAGTAAATGTGGTGGAATATGTTGCGTCTCTGATGTTTCGGTGTCGCAAACACCAAAACACTTGGGATCACTAAACTGGCATCCATGCTGGCCTCTAACATCTGCACCGATTTTTCTCCACCAACTCAAGGCCATCCGCGTTCGTATTTTCTGAGTACGTCTTGCGCAAGCAGCAGGACTGAATTTGCCTTTCTGCTTCGGTCGGAACATACCTGTACCTCTTGAACATCACAAACATCCTAAAGAGTTTCATGCTACACACTCTTGAAAGGGAGCGGAACAAAAATATGAGCCGTGCAAGGCAAGCGTATGCTGCGCTTCAGTGGGAGCAACACTACAAAGAAACATCCTGACCATCCTGACCCAAAGTTTTCTTTGGATGCATTACTTGTGGATGACTTTTGGACACAGCGAAGACAGCCCATGTCCAGAGAAGTTACAGTTACAGTTAGGCACTTCCTTCAGGAAGTGCAGCAGCAGTCTTGCTTTCCCTCTTACTTTGGCACTCTCAGATCATTTCGCCTTGTCAGTGTTTCCCAGAAGACGCTTCGTGCGAGAAACACAAGTGTCGTAGCTTAAGACGGAATCTTAGTCCTTTATGATCATTGAGACAAATTGGGACTATGCGACAACTGCATTGCACTGCATTTCAAACGCTGTTCTGCGGCTTTGAAACACGCATGCAGAGGGAGGATTCAACAGGTGTTGACACTGAAAGCAAGGCACGGGAATGCTTTTAATTTTTGGGTGAAAACTATATACATTTAAGTGCTTCAGCCTCTGAAGACCTGCTGCGCAAAGTCGCGTCTTGATTGATCTCGCACCTTGTGAACATGGTATGAATTGTCAGCACTCCTGCTTAGGAAATTTCTTGAATCAACTCCTCTTGACCTCTCTACTGCGCTTGACGCAAACACAGCGTGGCTGTCAAGCCAAATTTAGACGCTTTTGCTCGTGCCCTTTGACATCTATCGACGACTTAGGCCGAGGTTGGGGGGGCCTGCTGGTATCTTCTGCCAAGCACTGTTTGTAATGGCCGGAAAGAGAACAAAAGTCACCCTAGGCCGGCCCTACAAGTACGCCCTATGCCCTCAGCTGGTCATTTTCGACACCCGTGGACCTTCTGAACAAACAGCATGAACTGCACCTTCAAAACACTTTGCTGATAAATTTTAGGACAAGGCTTGCTGACTCCGATCCTGTCGAGCCCTTTTACCTGGCACATTGGCACCCTGTCCAACTTCGCGCAGCTACCATGGAATGAAACTGATCATAGACATCCGTAGCACACTTGGCGTCCCTATCCTTCCCGCATTGGTCTCTTGCCAACTCAACTGGACCAAGATGACCAAGCCTGTCAAGGAATGATTGTGCGACTACAAGTATCTGCTGCTTGCGGCTGTCATTCACTACATACCATCGGATTCATGATCACGAACCATCTGACACGTACACAACATGAAGGTTCAGTTGGGAAGAAACTGGTATGTCCTGCCTGTCCTGCAAACCATTTTCAGGTCTGAAGATGCACTGAACATCGAATAACAAACTAAAAGTGGAGAAGACCCTCCAAATCACTAGGCAAAAGACATGGAAGGCAAAAAAAAACATTCAAAAAAATCTGGCTGAAGAGGGAGTGTCTCTCTCCTGAGGCCGGCAAGTCACGAACATGCTGGAAGAAAAATCCCTGCTAGATTCATACAGCAAATTTTCTTGCTTGGAATGCGGCGATAGAGAATGATAGAGAATTCAAACGTTTGAAAGCGTGTATAAAGAGCTATACGCAGAAACCAGGTAGTCAAGTCTCGGCAAACATTGACCGCTCGTAGCATTGTTCAGTGCAACATGACCATAGGAATCAATTAAATCAGAAGCGGGCCATCGGTATCCAAGACGCAACTTTGCCTGCATGATACAGCGGCAAATGTCACGCCACGTGGAAGCAAAAGGCTTGTTTCACCAATTGGACATGTTCCACACCAAAGCCTAGGCTGAAAAAAGACAGTTGAGAGAAGTTACGATCACAGGCAACTTGATTCATAGAGGATCAAACCGCCTAACAATATTGATACTGCTCCCAAGCACAGCTTGAAACTGGGCAGTAGTGCTTCCGTCAAACCCACTGTCTGCGATCAAAAGGGCCGAAGCAGTCTTGCTTTCCCTCTTGCGAACTTGACACTTTTGGACTCTCCGATCATTTTGTTTCGTGAGAAGATTTGACAAGCCAGTCTGTGTGAGTAAACAAATAAACAAACATTGGCCTTCATTTTGACCCTTAAGTTTAAGCTTCTGTGGAGCGCGAGGTAGGCGTCAGCTTCCGCGATTGACAAGTTCGACACGATCTTCTGCGGAGCTTCCGCAAAGCTTCTGCGATGCAAGCTGCTGCTTCTGCGGAGTAATTTCCTCTGCTCTTCTTGGAGGTTCGCGGGGGGTCTTTACTCAAGACATCAATTTGCCTTGATGTGGCCACTTTTAGCAACAGGAATCTCAGTCCTTTCTGGATCTCATTGAGAGTAATTGGGACTGGGTCATCGGGAGCATTCAACTGGCGTTGACAGTTTCCGGCCACCAATTTCTTTTGATACTGAAATAAAAACAACACAGGGTCACTTTTAGATTGTGTAGGGGAAAACTACATTTGCAAGAGTGAGTATTTCAGCCTATTGACTTTCTGCGCAAAGTCGTGTCTTGATTGATCTCGCACCTTGCGAACATGGTATGAATTGTCAGCACTCCTGCTTAGGAAATTTCTTGAATCAACTCCTCTGAAGGGTCTAAACAGTGTCAATCTAAGCTTTGCTTCTCAATCTCCCGAGCTGCAACACCTGTGATTCAACTTGCTATTCCACATGACGAAACTAGATGAAACTAGGACTCATGTTCGAAACAGCCAACAGTGGTGTGACGTTGCAAAGCATACACAAGGGAAGCGTAAAGAAGTTGGACCGAATTGGGCGCGGTGAGAGATTAGCTTGAAGGCTTCCACTCATGCCGTTCCTTTGACATCTACCGACGTGAGCAAAGGATAGGGGGGCTAGTAGGATCTTCTGCCAAGAACTGGTGGCAAATGCAAAGCGCAAAAGGTCACTTTTCATCACTTTTCGACATTTGGTCAATTTCAAACCGGATGTGGATCTGAGAAAGCGCGGAATACGCCTTCAAGACATGCTACTGTCGAGGAAGCCATGTCAAAGACCATGTACTGACATCGCTGGAAGTGTCTGGAACATTGGTGGCTTGGTCCATGTCCATAGACTTCCGTAGCACACTTGGCGTCCCTATCCTTCCCGCATTGGTCTCTTGCCAACTCAACTGGACCAAGATGACCAAGCCTGTCAAGGAATGATTGTGCGACTACAAGTACCTGCTGCTTGCGGCTGTCATTCACTACATACCATCGGATTCATGATCACGAACCATCTGACACGTACACAACATGAAGGTTCAGTTGGGAAGAAACTGGTATGTCCTGCAAACCATTCTCAGGTCTGAAGATGCACTGAACATCGAATAACAAACTAAACAGTGGAGAAGACCCTCCAAATCACTAGACAAAAGACATGGAAGGCAAAAAAAACATTCAAAAAAATCTGGCTGAAGAGGGAGTGTCTCTCTCCTGAGGCCGGCAAGTCACGAACATGCTGGAAGAAAAATCCCTGCTAGATTCATGCAGCGAATTTTCTTGCTTGGAATGCGGTGACAGAGAATTCAAACGTTTGAAAGCGTGTATAAAGAGCTATACGCAGAAACCAGGTAGTCAAGTCTCGGCAAACATGGGCTGCTCGAAGGATCGTTGAGCGCAACAAGACCACAGGAATCACTTAAATCAGAAGGGGGCCATCGGTATCCAAGACGCAACTTTGCCTGCATGATACAGCGGCAAATGTCACGCCACACGGGAACACCAGGACTTTCTGAAACATAAGGCCTATTTGACTGATTGGACATGTTGCAGATTCAAGTTGGGTTGGATCTGTTCATTCTTCCAGGGTGTTGTCTTGGGGTGATGCAACATGATGCCCAAAACAGCGTTTACTCACCTCACAGTTTTTGGCGTCAACTAGCGCAATTTTCTGAATTGCACTGATATGCCAAAAGGCACCTTACAGGGGCCGGGCAGGGCACGGATCTGAGTAAATGTGGTGGAATATGTTGCGTCTCTGATGTTTCGGTGTCGCAAACACCAAAACACTTGGGATCACTAAACTGGCATCCATGCTGGCCTCTAACATCTGCACCGATTTTTCTCCACCAACTCAAGGCCATCCGCGTTCGTCGCAGCAGGACTGAATTTGCCTTTCTGCTTCGGTAGGAACACACCTGTGCCTCTTGAAAATCAAAGACTTCCTACGACTTCCTGAGCATTATCATGTCACGCACTTGTGAAAGACAGGAAAGCAAAATTGTGGGCCTTGCAACTGCAAGGAAAGCATATACCGTGCTCAGGCTGAAGGAACACTACAAAGTTGAACCTCTGATCATCCCGACCTAAAGTCTTCTTTTGATGCACTATACGTATCGATAAGAGGCTAACTTTTGGACAAAGCCGGCATGGGCCCTGCCCATCAAAGTTGCAATCACAAACAAATTTATTGAGGAAAGACCAGACTGCGACAACACGCCAATATTGCTCCCATCTGCAGACTGAATTTGGGCAGTACCTCCTGCAATCCCACCATCTCTGCCTAAAAGTGCCGTCTTGATTTTACTGCTGCAAACTCGCTACTTGAAGACTCTCAGATCATGGACAGGACGGCCACCCCCTGAAGTCACGTCCAAGCTCGTCCAAGTGGACGTACGTCTGCACTTTCGACGTCGAGATATCAACAGTTTGCGATGGCTCCGGTGAGATTCCATATGCCGGTGCTTTGCTGCCTACAGCAAGCCACTAATTCAATAGCACCCAAACCTTTGCCAAGCCTTTGGGAGGCTTGGGCATCCTGCGGTTTGCTTTGTCCAAGCTCCGAATCCTTTTGCTCGAAATATCCACAGTATTTCTAAGTTTTATGAGGTTCTTATGCAACCTTCTATTCAAACGCACCATGCAAACTGCCTGTGCTTTAACTTTGGTGCAAACATGTGCAAACATAAGGAGGCATTGGCTCATATTGACTCAAAGGATCTCAAAGGAGCATCTGGCTGGCCTAGGAAAGGACATTTTGGCGGACAATTCCGCTCTGAGAGCTTTGCATTGGCCAGAATGAACTCTTGACTTGAAGCCCTTGTCCCGTGTTCGACTCGGGTGGCGTCTCGCCGTGCAGTTGGTGTCCTTGTCCAAACAACACGGAGTTTGGCCGGTGCAGCGGTTCTAGCACAAACATGAAAATGGATCATAATGGTAGGTTGAATCAAATGTTTGCCTTGTCTGATCCCTCATCTTGCTTTGCGGCAAGGCGTGTTTTGATTTCTCGC